ACATTTGCATAATGACTGAAACCAGCCCACTGAAGGAACAATGGGCTGGGAGGTCAGTTCCTTAATCTTAATTATGCAAATTATCCTGACCATTGATTAACAACCACTGATCAATGGTCATGAGTACCATTCACAGAGAGTTGGGGAATGGCTGCAGTCACAGCATTATGTAAGATGGTGACAGATGTACCCTTATTTACCTGATGTACCTGAGTAAATGTGGTTATTCCAGCTGGACTTTTGTCAAAGCTGGAAAGGCTGGAAAGTATCGGAGCAGCTGAGACACATTTTTAATAAACACTACATCTCTGTGGCTTTTAACCCCCCCCCAAAAATTGGTCCACCCCAAGTATCGAGTCCCCGACACAAACAGAGTAACATAGTGTAGCTGTTAAGTGCAGGAGGATTGGCAGGATTTATACATCGTGGAAACCAAACAACCTCTGGCTAAGAGGATGGCACAACACAGAAGAGCCACCTCGTCAGGCCAGGACTCTGCAGTCTGTTCACACCTACAGGCCAGTGGACACTCTTTCAATGATGAGGATGTAACATCCTGGACAGGGAGGTACGCTGGTTTGAGGGCGGAGTCAAGGAGGCCATTTATGTGAAAAGGGAAAGACCATCTCTGAATGGAGGAGGGGGCCTAAGGGTACATCTGTCACCATCTTACAATGCTGTGATTGCAGCCATTCCCCAACTCTCTGTGAATTCTTGAATGTGTTGTCTGTCACTTCTTTTCACCCACTTGTCCACATCATCTGTGTGGGTGTGGCATATCAATGGCTCTGGTACTGACCTCCCAGTCCATTGTTCATCAGTGGTGCTAGTTTGAGTCAATAACCAAATGTACTGTTGTGTAAACCTGCAGTCAGCTGAGAGTCACCTGGATGAGTCATGAAAACTCTTCATCCAGATGAACAGCTGCAGTCTAAGAGGCTGAATAACAAACACTCATAAAGCAGTTTCCATGTTCAGACATCAGAGACTAAAACAGCTCTGCTATCACTTCAGACATAAATAAAGACAGAGTGTTTGAAGGGTTAGTGAAGTCTGGCCAGCTGAAACATAATAGTGTGCTTCCTGGTGGTGCTAACATAGTGTAATGAAGACCGAGGAATAGTGGTAGCTAATAATAATGAAAGTAAATGTGAGGGTCCCTGATTGGATGAATGCAGTCCGACAGTGACCAGTGATTATTTTCAGGGGCTTGTTTGTGTCAAAAAAAGGAAAATGCAAAGCACTGCGACA